AAAAAAAAAAAAAAAAAAAAATTAAAAATTAAAAGGGATAAAATTAGATAGTTGTGGTTGCCCATCTGTGTGAATATACACCAAGGTCACTAAATTGTCAACTTTAAAAGCATATGCTTTGTGGCACGGGGTTATATCTCAAAGATGTTATTACAAAGAATGGCCTTGGGTCTTTGTGTGTTGGTTACTGGCAGCCCACAGACCCAGCTGCATGGAGAAGCATCTGAATATGTGTGCACCAAAGTAGATAGAAGGTTAAGTGTTAGAGGAGATCCCAATTTAACTGCAACGAAACAAAGAAAATTTGAAATATAACAGATACTGAAAGGTGCACTGATGAACATTAAGTGCCAGCCAACAAATTGCATGAATGTAACGCTATTGTGTTACCAGTGCCCAGGCCAAGAAACAGAGCGTACACATTGCCGCCTACCTCCCTGTTCCTATCACTCTTCTCACTCTAGTGCCACAGTCTCGCCCATCTTTGAACTTTATATAAATAAAATTGCACGATACACTCGCGTCTGGCCCATTTCCATCAATAATGTCTACGATTCATCCAAATGTTTGCATATGAATTTTTGCTCATGGCAGATCATTCATTCCCATGAGAATAACCACAGCATTCTTATCTAACTTACGATAGCAAGTATTTGCACTTTGCAGGTGTTCTGAATACCTGTAGTGAACATTTTGGTACCTTGTCTTTCAACAAACCACTATCTGTAGAATTTCTTGGTTAATCCAATATGCCAGAATCTATGAAACAGGCAAACCATTTTCCACAGTGGTCATAGCAATTGAGAAACTTTAACTTCCATAGTCTAAAGTTCCCAGGAGGTTAACTTTGCACAAGAATAATAGAAAAAAAGGAAAAGTAGACAAATTAACAAGTGTATAAAATCCTTTCTAGAATCCAATCAGTGCTCCTGATGAAAGTAGAGACTTACACTAATTGTTCTATGTTGCACATTGACGAGCTCAAGACTTTACAGAGTATCTTCATGTCATCGCAGGAAAGATTTACATTGCGGAGGTTCAAATATTTCAAGTCTGGGCTGTGAGAAAGCACCTCAAAGAAAACACTACTTCCACCAGAAAAGGAAACACAATTTAGCCTGCAAAAAAGCAAAGCAAGTTTCACCTGGGTTTCCTCTAACGAGGCCTGAGCCTCTGCTTTAGTTATCTCTTAGAACCCATAATTAATTCATTCTCTAATTTTACAGCCCAGTCACATCGCTCAGCACTTCTCATCCTGGGTCGTTTTGCCCCCAAAGGGCATAGTTGGTAATGCCTGGAGACAATTTTAGTTGTCATAATTAGGAGGAAGCTACTGGTAATGAGTGGGCAGAGGTCAGGGATGCTTCTCCATTATCTTGCTGCAACACACTCCAAACAAAGAAGGATCTAGAACAAAAAAAATCAGTAAGTGCCAAGACTGAGAAACTCTGCTCTAGATTTGAATTCTTCACTTACACAGTCAGCCTCAGCTCAGAGCTAACTTGGTTGACATGGATTTTTTATTTCCACAATACTCACAAATCAAAGGATCTTCAACTTACTGAAGCTTTTCAAGGTGACAGGTGGGAAATCTCAGCTGATTGCACAAAATCTCCAAACTAGATTGGCAGAAGTCAGTGTTTATTATTTCCAATTCTTTGAGGTGCTCATTGGTTATGAACACACAGAAAATGTGATGCCAATGAACGACATTACAACTTGACCTGTGATCAAAAAGAAAGGACATGCTCTCTGTAGGTGAACAGTGAACACAAGCCTTCCCCACAGGTACGCAGGATACGTTGTCTGCCTGTACAGAAGACTTCTGAGTCAGAGTCTCCTTTGATCGGGGAGAATAGGGTCAGTCGGGTAAGCTCACCCTATATTAGTGAATTATGGGCCCCAGGGGACATCTGGAAGTCCTTTTGGTTATTACCTCTTAAGGGAGGGGTACTTCTGGCATCTTGTGGATAGAAGACAGAATGATCCTAAACATCCTGTAATATACAGGAAGCCCCCCAAAAGAAACCCAGGATAGCCCCCAAAATGAAGCTGAGAAATGCTGCTTCATATCCACAACACAGCCAGTAGTAAGCCAAGGTCTTCTGCAAGATGGCTGAGGCTCCTAACCACATAATCTTTGGGTGCCTTCCTAGACTTCTTTGCCTCGGTTTCCTTATCTGTAAAATCACTGTAGAATCCACCCTGAGCTCAGGACTTCAAGACCAGCCTGAGCAAGAGTGAGACTCCATCTCTACTGAAAAGGCAAAAAGTAGCCAGGCACTGTGGCAGATGCCTGTAGTCCCAGCCACTCTGGGGTCCAAGGCAAGAGGATCACTTGAGCACAAGAGTTATGAAGTTACCGTGAGCTATGATGCCAGGGCACTACGCCCAGGGTGAAAGTGAAACTCAGTCTCAAAAAAACAACAGGAAAAGTTTGTGTGTGGTCCCATGGGAACTGTGTAGGTACTAATTACGTGGGTGGATCAGCTGGTGTTTGAGAAAGGTAGGATACATGTCACGTGACTCTCAGGGTCCATCCTTATGACTATAAACACCATCCCCACCATGTGTGTTGAGGCCACTGCAGCTACAAAAAGACAAGTCTCAGCAACGAAAAGGCCAGAGCTTCTAGTGAGTCTGGCTGGGACTCAAACTAATGCTGTTTGGATGGCAATGAAAACCCTACCATGATCCTCCACTTAGCAAAACCCACCTGAGAAGATGGACAGATTCTGACAAAGGGGCAGAAAGACATTGAATGGACTCACCTACAGCCACGTCCATCCTCCTCAATGACTTTTGGGACTGAAAACGAAAGTCTCCTCAAGCCAGAGCAGTATTTTAAGCAGTAGGCACAAACCTCCAGGTCCAACTCATTATTGATAGAAAAGTTAATGTCTTGGAGGAAGTTCACTGCCTCCTTCACGAAGACCGCATCCTCCATCTCGAAAAGACAGTAAAACAATGCCAAGAAATCAGTCTGCCCCCGCAGACCTTCACATTCTTCTAAGTTCTTCAGGATCTGGTGAAATTGCTGCCTGATCTCTTGGGAGGGTTGGAAGCCAAAAAATTTGTCTACCTTTTCTTGTTCCTTTTCATTTAAAAAGCCAAATAGGAAACTTCCCCAGTGAATCCAACGTGCTTTTTTTACTTTCTTCAGATGGGCAGCTAGGAGGGTCTCTCTGGATCTGACGGCCGGGTTGGGATGGTCGCGCCTCAGCAGGTAGAACATGGCAGCACAGAACTCCTGGATGCTCCTGTGCGCGAATGTGTACGAGCTCTCTGTGCATTTCAGGAAAATGTTGGTATCCAGCAATGCTGGGACATCCAAGTCCGCTATTCCATTTCTCCTGAGATCCTCATCATGAAATTCAAACACATCGGTCCACATGCCCTCTACAGCCAGGGAGCACAGGCCTCTCAGCCGGACCCGGCTCTGTGGACTTGGACAACTGGCATCCTTGTCGGTGAACAAGTTCAAGATGGAAGAGGCGTACAGAGAGGTGAGACATCGGCAGATGGGCGCCAGCTCTCTGCCTTTCTCCACCGCTTGCTTCATGCAGGTGCCTATAACCCAGCAAATGCGGGGGGCGTGGCACAGGGAATATATCTGTGCATTCTCTCTTACAGAACGGAACGCCTCCGCGGCTCTATTCCTGCTTGGGAATAAAGAGCGGAAATAGAGCTCTATTTCCCCCTCGCTGAATCCAGACAGCGTTATGAGTTCTGGGCACACCAGCCGAGCCTGAAGCTCTGCCGGGCACACGGGCGTCACTGCCACGAGCAGCGAGGCCTCCGGGAGCATCTTCTTCCTCAGCAAACCACTCAGCAGCGCCCGGACCGGCTGCTGCTTCATCCAGTCACCGCACAGGTCTGACTCGGGTTCACTCAAGTCACATTTCAGTTCTTCAAAGCTATCGATGATGAACAAGAGTTTCTCTGGGTGGGTCACGATCTCTGTGATAGGAGCAGGTGAAGGGTAAGGCCAGTTCCTGGACATCAGATCGGCCAAGCTGGTCTCCTTCACCTGCCTGAGTTCTCGGCAGCAGAAGTAGAACACATAGAGGAATTTGTCCTGAAAGAGGCTGCCCTCTGCCCAGCCCAGGACCAGCTTCATCAGAAATGTTGTTTTCCCGACGCCCTGTGCTCCTTGCAAGACCGTGGTATGTGACCGCTGCCCAGTTTCTTTGGCAGCAAAAAGGAGGTGCATATATTTGAGTTCTTCTGGTCTGACGTTCTCACCAAAACATTCAAAAAAGTCAGTGATGGATTTGCTGGCGTAAAGGCTGCTGAACTTATTCTTAACATAAGCTCTATAGATCTTTTTGTGTTCTGAGTCAGTGAGAGGAAAACAAATGAAAAAATGGTACGTCAAATATGCAAAGTAGAAGTAACATCTTATACCAGGATAAGTATAAATCGTGACCCTTAAGACAATATTGCTGAAAGATCATAGCTTCTCTGCCATAAACTTCTGCTTGTTCAATATGAAAGTGTATATACATGACAATGATTTAGAATCTTCTTTTTTTTTTCTTTATGAGACCGAGTTTCACTATGTCCCCCTCAGTAGAGTGCCATGGCATCACAGCTCACAGCAACCTCCATCTCTTGAGCATAGGTGATTCTCTTGTCTCAGCCTTCTGAGTAGCTGGGACTACAGGCCTCTGCCACAACGCCCAGCTTTTTTTTGTTGTTGTTGCAGTTTGGCTGGGGCTGGGTTCAAACCCACCACCCTCAGTATATGGAGCTAGCACCCTAATCACTGAGCCATAGGCACCATCCGATCATTAATTATTTTCAAAAGAAGTTCAAAACACAGTCAAGTATATTCCTTTTTTCTTTTTCTTTGATCAAACTTAAGTGTGCTGCAGAAGTTTAACTATAGGCTCAATAGTGCCGTGAGATTAAAAAAGTTGAAAAACACTGCCTTAGGCACCTGTGGCTCAGTGAGTAGGGCACCAGCCCCATATACCAATGGTGGTGGGTTCGAACCCGCCCCCACCAAATTGCAACCAAAAAATAGCTGGGCATTGTGGTGGGCGCCTGTAGTCCCAGCTACTCAAGAGGCTGAAGCAAGAGAATCGCCTAAGCCCAGGAGTTGGAGGTTGTCATGAGCTGTGTGATGCCACAGCACTCTATCAAGGGCCATAGAGTGAGACTCTGTCTCTATAACAAAAAAAAAAAAAAAAAAAGAAAGAAAGAAAAGAAAAACAGAAAAACACTGCCTAGAGTTTCTGGCTTGGATGCAAGTTCTCAGCTTAGAGTAAAAAGTATTGGTGACCTGACATAAAAATACAAGTATAGTCTAGCAAGGGGGAGAGAAGAGGAGAGAGAGGGGTGAGGAGAAAAGAGAGTGGAGGGAGAAGGAAGGAAGGGGCAGAGTGAGGAAGGAGAAGAGAAAGGGAGAGGGGAGGAGGGACGGGGAGTAGACAGAAAGGAAGAGGTGGGGAGCAGAGCCAGGTGGGCAGGAGAGAGTGAGGCGAGGGAGACGAGAGGGGAGAATGGAAAGGGGGGAAGGGCAGGAAGGTGATTGGCGGGATCTCACCTAATGTGCACAATATGAGGGTGTTCAGCAGCCCCCTGGGTGAAGGGCTAAACTAGAACTTGAACTTTACCTTAGAAATGAAAACAGTATAATCTAAACTTTGTACCCTCAGATTAATCTGAAATAAAAACAAAAGAAAATTCAAAAGAAAAAAGAAAAAAATATTATTGGTGATCCATATAAACGTACAACACAGGTTAGGACACATTATCCACCTACATTTTCCCACAAAAGCCAGCAGGTCTAACAGTAATTTGCTACCTACAAGAACAATATTTTCCCATAGCACATTCTGTCCCTGTGACGGACAGGCACAGAAACCATCTACCAAAAAGAGGAGGTGGTGACAATCACCTTAAGTAGTCTGGGCCCTTCCCCACAGACTCACCTGTGCGCTCTCTCTGGACCTTATCACAGAGATCCTGCCTACCCAGCCTGTGAAATATCCTTAATGTCAAATTCCATGCTTGCTGGGCCTCATATTGCTGGATAAGCAGGTTGGCCAGGTCTTCCCGGGATGATTTTTTCACTTTGGTCCAGGATATTTGCTTGAGTTCAAGTTTCAAAGTCTCTTGCTTAAAATGCTCCTTAAATTTTTTGAACTCCTTCTTATTGAGCTCCTCTAGATACCATATGAGCCCAAAATCAGAGAAGAAAGATGATGCCATCTCATCCAGGCCCAAAACACCAACACCAGTCTTCAGAGAGACAGTAATGGGGGGAGGAGAGAGGGGGAAACTGTGGTAAATTCAGGGTAGTACCAAGTTACTAAAAATGAATGACTCAAGATCACTAATATCTTGCTACTTTGCAGGGCGGGGCATGAGGATGAGGACACAAAGTCCTTTAACTGGATTCATCTCACATTCTTTTTGTTTGTTTCTTGAGACAGAGTCTAACTCTGTCGTCTGAGTAGAGTACCATGGCTTCACAGCTCACAGCAACCTCAAACTTGTGGGCTCAAATGATTCTCTTCCCTCAGTCTACGGGGTAGCTGGAACTACAGACACCTGCCATAGTACCTGGCTAGTTTTTCTAATTTTAGTAGAGACCAGCTCTCACTCTGGCTGAGGTTGGTCTCAAACTCCTAAGCTCAAAGGATCCACCAGCTTCAGACACCCAGAGTGCTGGGATTATAAGCCTGAGCCACTGAGCTGGCTTCATCTCATTCTTATTGAGATGGTCATTGAAACAGTGATACCTGAAAAACACTCAGTAATTGATGGGGGAATAACAGATGGAATTATTCAGAAGATACATGAATCCTAACTTGTCATCCATCACCTGACATGTCCTCAATACACAAGCAAATGTACATTTACCTTCAAGTAGTGGCAAATTACATTTCTCTCAGTAAACAAGGCATGCATCACAAAGTCAACTGATTTTTGAAGAAAGCACCATGGAGAAGGATAGTGTCTTCAACAAAAGATTGCAAAACAAAGGCTGGGTGTGATGCCTTCTGCCTGTAATCCTAGCTCTATGAGAAGCCAAGGCAGATGGATTGCCTGAGCTCAGGAGTTTGAGAACATCCTGAGCCAGAGCAAGACCCCATCTCTAAAAACAGCCAGGCATTGTGGTGGGTGCCTGTAGTCCCAGCTACTCGGGAGGCTGAGGCAAGAGAATTGCTTAAGTACAAGAGTTTGAGATTGCTGTGAGCTATGACACTACAGAACTCTACTGAGGGCGACAAAATGAGATTTCATTTTTTAAAAGTGCCCAAAACAACCCATATGCAAAAAAAAAAAAAAAAAAAACCAACCAGCTATACCTCACAGCTTACAGATCAATTAAGTCTAAATGGGTTATAGACCTACACGAAAAATGTAGAACTATAAAAATTCTACAAGAAAATCTACATGACCTTGAGTTTGATGCTGAGTTTTTAGATACAACATAAAAACCATGATCCATGGGGAAAAGGACTCTATTTAAGATACTTTCCTTGAGGCTCGGCGCCTATAGCTCAACCGGCCAAGGCGCCAGCCACGTACACCTAAGGTGGCGGGTTCGAATCCCCAGCCCGTACCCGCCAAACAACAATGACGGCTGCAACCAAAAAATAGCCGGGCGTTGTGGCGGGTGTCTGTAGTCCCAGCTACTTGGGAGGCAGAGGCAGGAGACTCGCTTGAGCCCAGGAGTTGGAGGTTGCTGTGAGCTGTAATGCCACGGCACTCTACCCAGGGGGACAGCTTGAGGCTCTGTCTCAAAAAAAAAAAAAAAAAAAAAAGATACTTTCCTTGAGAAGGACCCTAATAAGATAATGAAGACAAACTTCAAAAGGAGCATAAGTTGCAATTTTATATCTAATAAGATTTGTGTCCACAATCTACAAAGGTCTCTTAGAACTCAAGAAGACAGGGCATTGCCAGAAGACAGCTAAGTAGACACCCACGAGATGTGCCTCCTCCATGGAGAGGAACCCGAACAGTAAGCAGATCCTCACATTTCAAACACATGGTGTAGGTAAAAATCACAAGATTCCCCAGGAAGGTGATGGGAAAGTGGGTATGGCAAGGGTTTGGAGCAACTTTTCCACTTGGGACTGGCTGGGACTGGCTAACAGCTGGGAGACATTCCTAGATATGAGGAACAGTAACGGAAAACCCCCAGGGATCTATACTCCAAAATGAATTTTTAAATGTTGACTGTAAAAGATCCCCCTGACTCACTGGTCTCAGGCCTAACATGGGCAGCTGCCTGGAGATGGCATAGAAACATTGTTCCAGAAAGGGAACCAACACAGAATCCCACCAGCATCTGAGCCTACAGCAGTTTGGGCTGAGTGCCAAATGCTGAGCCTAAATACTGGGAAACTGTGGGTACACCTGCTGCCACTGTGAAGGGGAGGCTCCAAGGAGGGACAGAGGAACCCGGGCGCTCTCACACCCCTGGAAAGGCCTCCCACTGCCCTTCTGTTGAGACAGACATGGGCAAACACCATTTTCAACTATCTCTTGCCCACCCTGTTAGCCTGGGTGGAGCCCTAGCCTTTCTGGCCACAGGTTCAACATGCCATTTTGGGAGTTGAAAGCTAAGCTGAACCCTGCTCTTGGGCTGAATTCAGCCTGAGTACAAGATATTATCTCCATATATGGAAGGTGCTGAAATAAAGTATACACAATTTAAGAAAGGAAAAAAAGAAAGGCCATGCACAGTGGCTCACGTCATAATCTTAGCTCTCTGGAAGTCCAAGGCAGGTGGATTACCTGAGCTCAGGAGTTCGAGACCAGCTTGAACAAGAGTGAGACCCTGTCTATACTAAAAATAGAAAAACTAGCTGAGTATTGTGGCAGGACCTGCAATCCCAGCTACTTGGAAGGCTGAGACATGAAGATCACTTGACCCAAAAGTTTGAGGTTGCTGTGAGCTATGACAACACAAAACTAACAACAACAACAAAAAAAGGGTAAAAAGTATTACATTTGTAATGCTCAAGTCAAGTTTGACTTCTGCAATTAAAAGAAGTGCTTAGCATGATTAGAATTCTTTTGTTATTAGTATAAAGTGAGTATTACAATTTCAATGCAGTTCTTTTTGGCCCCCTCTGTATATTTATTTCAATCTAAAATAAGTCTTAGAATATGTAAACTGGGGAATGGGAGAGGAAGGTAAGAGTTTAGCTAAGGGGAACAAAAGGACAGATAGATGCGAGACATGGTGTTTTGCCGGCCTGCAGGGCAAACACGGTTAACTGTAGTTTATGGGATATTTTCAAAAAGCTAATGGAGAGGATTTTAAATTTTCCCCACACAAAGAAATGATAATTGTTCCAGGTAATGGATATGCTAATTGCACAGATTGGATCATGACACATTGTATACATTTGCCAAAAATATTATTCTGATTACCTGAGCTCACAGGTTCAAGACCAACCTGCACCAGAGTGGGACCCCCTCATCTCTTAAA